ACATCTCCTTTCTACGGAAACACAGCTGAAGGAAGATGAGAAGGTAACAGCACCCCTCCCCTCCCCTCTTAAATAGCTACGTGAGTGAGAAACCCAAGTTCAAGTCCTTTTTCTGCGAGAGAGGGGACAAATCTACAGCTCCTGCCTCTCCGGAGGCAAGTGGAGACCTCCTCCCTTTCTGCTGCAATGGTGGTGCTGTGCAGAAAAGAGTTTAAGAGGCAGAGAGCGAGCACAAGAGGGCTGATAACTGCAGCCGAGTGGTTATATCACTCACCTAAGCAGGTGGGAGTCCTGCATTTTCCAGCTCCAATGTATGCATGTTTTACATGACTTCCACATCAAACACAGAAAGGACCCTGTGAAGAGAGACCAAAACCTAGGTTTCTCCCTCTTGCAGGTGAATGCCCTGCCCACTCAAATGCACCTGGGGACCATAGCTTATCATGAATTGTTCCACCAGGCTGAACCTTAGGTACCAGCATTTCCTCGTTTTAGATGTAGCTATTTGTTGCACGGCACACGTTTACATTGAACTCCAGGGTTGGTTGGTTTTTTCAATTGGCTATTCGGATCAATATTGCACCATTTTACTAACAGAACAGCAGACGTATTAAAGGAGAAGGTAGCGGGAGCAGTGACTGGGGCATTTCTTTGGGCATCAGAACTGAATGACATTTCTGGCTTGCTATTGACTTGCATAATCCATCTCACTACTATACTTTATTTTCCTTAGCTGTAAAATGAAGATCATGAGTTTGTCCTCTTTGGTGAAGTCCTTTAAAGGTCATAAGCCTATCTGTAGTAATTCACTTGCACTATTGTAGTATTTCTTTATTAATTGTATTCTAAGGGACTGACAGAAAACGTGAAGGATTGGTGGGGGAGAGAGTGATAGGAGGGGGCAGGAGAGAGAGCCTTTGCAGAGCCCCTGGCTTCCTTTTGTTTCCTTTTTACTTAATCACAATTTTTTTAGCCAAGAAGTGTTTGTCTAATGCAAGCGTGCCCAGCTTGGGGCACACAAACCACAACCTCACAGGCAGTGTGCACGTGGCGTGTGGCAAATTGAGGAAGGGGCAGAAAGCAGAGAGCAACACAGCAGGCTGGGCAGGGAGCAGAAAGCAGAGCAGCAGATGGAGCCGGAGAAAAACATTGGAGTGGTCCTCAGGGAGCGCATGGGGCTTAATCTGTGACATAACCGCCCAAAAAGGTTGGTCCCCACTGATCTAGTGGATAGAGCTGGGTGGGCGGGAATCAGGAGATGCGTGTTCATTTTTCTAGTTCTGCCACAGGCTTTCTGCACGGCCTTGATCAAGTCATTATCTTCTCTAATTTAATCTTCTGTCTTTAAAATAGAAATAAAGATGGAGTTGGGAGAATTAAATCCATTAGTGATGGAGAGGTCTGCTCTACAGTGACCAGGGCCACATCAAAGTACCTAGATAGAGAGTGAATAGGAATGAAAGGCTCAGTGCAAGACTTAGTGTATGAGCGTGCGCACACAAGCCACAAGGAAATGTGGGTCAGACCGCTGTTGTTTTCACCTTGGGAAGTATCACTTAATGGCCCATACCTTCCTGAAAGGAAACCTTTATAAATATTTGTAAATTTTATAAATTGTAACCATTTGTAAATTTTATAAATAAATGTTTTATATACCGTCACACTCATTTAATTCTTGTTTCCCCTCTTTCAGCAGCTGCAGCTTGAATCCCTTAGTTAGGCCTTAATTATTCACCTAGTGCCTCTTAAGTTTTAATTGTCTATGATGGTTTATACTTCAGTACTGCAAGAGAATACCATACTGGAGCTAAACAGGTATCAAGGGCACGAGTTGCATCTGGATGCTAACACATGTAGATCTATACTGCGGTTCTTGTGTTATGATGTAGAACATAAAGCCAACGTAGTAGAAGCACTCTGGCAATAGTTTTCTGACAAGACAGGGCAGTACTGCAAGCCTGAGCAGCAGTTTAATTATTTTCTGTAATTCTGCTCGAACCCTGTAAATGCCAAAAGCTGTTGTATAGTTTAGGATTTAAAGCTGTTCAAGACATTACTGTTCTTTATCTGCGTCCTCCCAACAGCAGGAGTTACAGCAGAGATGAGAAGTTGGCCCCTGGGCCAATCTTTACTCTCTCCCTACCCCCTCCTTCCTATTTTCTGCTATTTTGCTATTCCTTTGCGCTGGAAGTATGATCCAAAAACACTACCATTCAGTCAGCAAAGGCAACAGCTTTCAGAAGCCCCAAGCAACACTGTCCCCTTGCAACTACATTATTTCCAGTTGCAGACCTGGAGAAACAGCCCATCAGTCCTCCTGTTTTAGCCGAGTGGCTGGTTCATTCTGAATTGCGGGTATGCATTAGACTGTAATGGGGTAAGTGTATCACTGAATTAAAGGGAATAAGGAGGGCCGCGGGCATTCAACAGATATGTGGGGAAAGGAGGTTGCATTCTGGGGAAGAGCTCAAGGTGGAATCTCATACAGACCCCCCTCGCCTTGTTCGCCAGCTTTGCAAATAAGCAAATGTTAGTTGTGATTCATGCCTACACCCTGGAAGCTGTTTGTCAGCAGCCAGCTGCATCCAGTGGCCTTGACACCTTTTTAGCCCTCTATATTTTTAGCTTTGATAGCTCTTACAGCATCTTATAAATGTACAAATGTTTTTTTACAGGACCAAACTGGAACTGAGGGATTAGTATAATCCTAACTACTACTGTTATGCTGTCCTGCAAATTTTATTAAATAAAGGTCTTGCAGGATGAAAGAATTACGTCCTCATGCTATTAGTTCAGAAGGCGCCTCCCCCTGGTCCTTACCGTGATAGCTCTTTAGAGGATTCGCATTCAGCAGTCTGTTAGTCTGCTTGTGCAATCTTGCCACAGCCCAGATGTCTTCAGAAGAGATTCCCCAGCTTTTGCGCACTGTTTTTGTCACAATCTATAGTTCTAGCTAGAAAGGTTTCATTTGGTTGCTGAATCTGAACTGGAACATCTCCCCTCCAAATATTGGCTATGCCTAAACACAGAGAAATGACTAACGACCTGCCTCGCTTTGCGGGTCAAACATGAACCAGCTCTAAGGAACATCTTTTTCATAAGTGCCAAGCACTTGTACTCTGCAGATCAAGCCCCTTTTAGGTGTTTCAAGGTCAAAACCCAAAAATCAAAGCATGCAAAAAATCACAAGCCACTTTTTTGAAAATTGTAATTTTTCAGACCCCTGGAAAAGGATGCATTAGCCACTAAAGAAATGCAAACGTCTAGAACTCTTGGTTTGGAGATGATACCTTTTATTAGACCAACTAAGAAACCACAAAAAAAAATATCTTTTTCTGAAAGCTTTTGGGCACACGTGCCCTTCCTTAGGCTCAGGGAAAATTAAAGATGGTAAGAAGTCCCCATGGGTAGAAAATAAACTTCGTTTTTGCACAGAGGGTACGAGTCTGTTCCTCTGGGTCCATGAGTGTCTTTGTGAGTTGCTCTTTGATGTGCCATCCCATTAGCCACTGAAGAATTATACTGGCATTAGATTTGGAGAAGTGGTTTGCCATCTCACTTTTTGTTAATAGATGATGTATCAAATAGCAACGTAAAAACTTTGCCAATGATATTTCTAACGTAAATTCTTTTGTTTTCCTTTATAAACATCCGAACATTTAGCAAACCACCATTTTATGAAAAACGATGAGGCACCGATAAATTGTCCAGTGCAAAAAAAAAATAAGCAATCCCTCCTTCTACTCTATCCTCATATTCTCCAATCATTGCATGTCTATCGTATTTACAAGAAAATGAACCTCAATAATCTCCTTTAATCTTACTTTACATTGTGAACATTAACTCCAGCCAGCTCTCTGCAGGGTTTGATAGCACAGTGGTAAGAAGGAGTGCGAGTCCTAGCTGGCATTATAGCCTTCTGTATTACTGCTGCTCACTGCACCTAGGACAAATTCCTGGTCCCATTTTCTTTGCTAGTATAAAAAAAGCAATGAGGGAAACCTGGAATGAGAAGAAGTTGAAGGGTGTGGTGACAAGAGAGATAATCTGCCTTTCTCTGCTCACAGTGCTTATGGCTGACTAGCAATTTCTGGAGTAAAGACTTAATAGTCATGGCTGGGCGGCTTTGGCATTAGGAAGAAAGACTACATTGCTTCTACTACAGTGAATGTCTTAAGAAAAAATTCAAATATTTTGTGGGCGATATCTTTTATTATGCCAAGGGTAAAATAAAAGGGCACCTGAAAGCTTGTCTACATCCCTCCCAGCTATACAGTTTGTCCAGTAAAAAATATCAGTCGCAAAAATCCTTGACTTTCATATTTTTCCTGGACCATCATGGTTACAATAATCAGCCCAATTCTACCTTAAGAAACAGATTTTTTTCTATCAGTGCTGTTCTTTCAGGGCAACCCCCGAGCTGTCCTTAATTTCTTTTAAATCTTCCAAAGTTATGATTTGTTAAGATTTATATAGAAATAACCTTTACAATTCTAGAGCTCAGTGCCCTCAAGCCACATACACAGAAATCAGTTAAAAGCATAATAAATTATATTGAGGCAACCTGTTCAAATAAATCCCTACGGAGGAAATAGTAGAGCGAGAATGCACGGATATTTTGGGACCTGTTTGTGTTCAACTAGATCTCAGAGGAGGATGTAGAAGGGGGGCTAGCACGATCTTCCATTCCCTGTAACCTTGAAATGCTTCTAGGGGACCAGTATTTTTTTAAGGGCAGAAGGGGGGGAATATTTTCCAGCCCAGGAACAGCCTATAGCCCCGCATCTTTAATGTGTCCCTTGTACCCTCTGAGAAAAATAGCCCCCGTCCAATGCAGTAGAGTTGCATAGAGGCCTGTGCTTAAAGTTGCCCAATGTAACAAGTCAACTCACTCGGGGTTCCTGATTTCACAGGTTGGCATGACAACAAGAAAAAAGACTCTAGAAATGCAAGGTATTTGCTTAAGCAGAAATGACCAGACTGCATTTTTTGTGTGTTAATTTTTTTTTTATTGGGATGAAGCTGCTGTCCCTTTACTGATAATACTTATCTAATGATTAGGAAAAAAGCCAGTGGGATGGCAGGGCTGGTATCACTTGATGGCTGTTGTTGACCTTGCATCCTCTAACACCAGTGTCCGAGCTGTGCCACATCTGGATTCAGATCCTGCCAAGAGAAACAAGTAGCTGCCATCATTACCTCCACTGGTTTTGGCTATGCCCTGATTAGCCAAAGCATTTTTCTTAGCTCCCCTAATCTTCTTCCTGTTATTTGTTGACTAAGGCAGAATCTCTTTTTGCTTTTTGTCTAAGGCAACTCCCCCCTTCATAACACTGCTGTGAGGCTACAAAGGAAAAGCCAAGCCAACAGGAATGAATGCCTTAAGGAGTTTGACCTGGTAAAAGTTTCAAGTTTCTCAGAATGGCCAGTAAGACCATACCTTCTCCAGGACATTTACCAGCAACAAGTGTGCAAGCCAGAGTAAGCCCTAAGCCATATCCACACCAGCCCGCTTCTGAACTCAGGTTTGCCCTGAGAAACAAGCCCTGCCCTGGTTCCCACTCTGCCTGCATCTAAGCTTGCCTGTTGGGATGAGCAGACATCTTCCATTGGTCCTGAGCACACATCCCAGTGCTAATTCCAGGCTCTCCCACGTCGCAGCGAGAAGATACAAATGCTACGTATAAGCACACACTTGATTCTGCTCCCCTTCCTTACTTCTTTTTGTATGTTCATCTCCTTTTAGGCTAGGTACAGATCGTCAAATTAGCTCGAGGCTGAATGGATTCAGTCTTTGCAGGTTAGTGTAAACTGCAGAGATTAAACTGAGAAACAACTGGACAGACATTTATCCCTCATTCAGGCAATGCAGCCATATGCCTGCAGTGGCTTAGGCCAAAAGCTGGGGGGCGCTAGATCACACCTCTCTGGCCTGCAGCCAGAGAGAGAGTGTGTGTGTGTTTTTTCACTTCCTCTTCCTGCTGCCTCTGAGGTCTCTGGGATTTGCAGTCCAGAATCTCAGCTGCAGGAGGACTCTGCAGGGTTGCTCATCATTTCCTCTTCCCGCTCCCAGGTGCCTCTGGGATTTGTAGTCCACAGTCACAGGCAGCAGTAAGTTTGAGTGGGGGAAGGGGCATTTCACCCCCCTCCCTGGCCCCAGCCCCCAGCCACTATTTGCCTGGGGGGTAGTCCCCACTCCTTGCAGACTGGGCTTGCCCCACCTCACCCCATTGTCAGCCGGCCCTCGCTGCTCCAGCTAGGGAGCACAGGAGTGGGGCTAGCCCTGCTCTCTGGGGCAGACAGCACAGCCCAGCCTAGGCTGCGAAGTATGCTGGGATGCTGGGGGACTGTGATGTAACTTGAACTGGGAATGGGGTCTGGGACAGAAGTTTCATAAACCATTAGACCTAAATCAGTTAAGTCTGATACTACATACAGCCAGGTTTATCTTAAACCAGTTTCAGCCATTTTGAAACTGGTTTATGTTCACTGCGTTTCTGTTCTGTTACAGGTTTAAACTGATTTCTGATCACTTAAACCAGTTTATGTCCAACTTCTGTCCCTAGCCTTAAAACAAACATGATAAAACTTCTACCACTTCTGTAACCTAACTTTTTGCCCCTCCACCAATTATACCATCTTTACACACCATTTAACAAAATGCACCATGCCCAAATACTCTTTTTGAAAGAACTCTATAGTTATAGGGGATATGGGAACATATTAAAAATCATCACATTCACCATGTTTTAACCAGTTTAAGAATTCAATAAAAGATTTTTAAATTAAAAAAAAATAGTGATTATTACAATTGTAATAATCCAACAAAATCTTAATACAAATCCCCAGGCTCCCCAGGAGACTTTAATGTTGTAACAATAGAAAAGTTTCATTAACATTTTATGCTTTTTGATATGAAGCTGTCTGAAGACCAGACATACGCAGCACATCTTATGCTCAGTCTACATTACAAAGTTTTGCTAGGAAAACCCCTGGTGTGGATGCAGCTATGATGCTTTCTGTCCTGGGGGCAGGGGGGCTGGACTTGATGATCTTCCAAGGTCCCTTCCAGCCCTAATGTCTATGAAATCTATAACAAAAGAAAACGTCCTTTTTAAAAAATTTGCAATAGCATTTAGGGACAGGGCGTTAGCTGTGCTGACAGACAAACTGTTGGCATATGCCACATCTGCCCTAAAGGAATAAGCCAGCAAAACTACTGCGTCGCTGTAGTGCAGATAAGTCCCTGGTAGCAAAGCGAAGGGCCAGATTTCCACAAGCCACCTTCTCTTCGGGGGCACACTAGCCTGTTCTGTCATCCCCCACGCACCTCCCTGTGCAACCGTTAAGCTTTGCAAGGTCAACTGCATTAAGATGCTTTGCCACTTCCTTCACAACCCAGTGGGGGCTGGCCTGGCCCTGCGTTGATATTTCCTTCTTAATAACTGACTGTCTTTGCAGAATTTATTGTTCCTTGATAACCACGCTGCTGCTCTCTTATCCCATGAATGCAAAGCCCAGGTGCTCTTGGAAGATTGCTATGGCAACCCATTCTAGTTCCTCAAGAACCAGGCTATAATTTGAGGAGGAGATGGATTAAAAAAATAAATATAAAAAGGAGTGAAGAGACTGCCAGATAGTCATGTAATATAAATAATGGACAAAGCACGTGAAAAGCTAAATGAAAGGGGAATATACAAATAGTTGTGCCTGGCTTTTTCCACACAGAAATTGAAGGCCAGATTGAACTTTAGTTTAGTTCACAATTACGATGTTGCAAAAATGCCATCTCCGCCAAGCAGGATATAAATCCTTTTGTTTAATTCACTGCTACGTTAGTGAGTACTGCAGTCACAATCTGTGCTAAGGCTGCGACTCAATTTCCTGTCCCCACCAGGATGCATATTGTGCACCCTCACTTGATAACTGATATTGCTGGCTGCTTCATTATTCTCGTTCTCCTTATTGCAAAGGGTCCAGGCCTAAGGGAGCGGGATGAGCAGCGAATGCAAAGTGGCATTATTTTTCTTTCTATGAAAAGGTGGTTCAGGAGCTCAGCGAGACGGCGTGAGGACTACAACACACAAAGGGGCAAAATATGGGAATTTCTGGTAGAACTGCTTTGTGATGTAGAGGTGACAGATAACTAAGAAATGGGATAGTTCATAGAAGGGATAAGAATAAACCAGACACCTGCAATTTGGGGGCGTTAGCTTGCATTTAGCTCCGAACTGTAATTCACTTCCTCTCTGTAAAGGACCAGCTGCAATTCCATGCGCCTTGATCAACAGGTCCTAGACCAGCTACTGATGAAACTCTACCCTTCTTGTCATTAATTCATCAGTGCCATAATACAGGACCAATCATAGCCCTTCTCTTTGCAGGCAAAGGAAGTTGCTTGTGGTCATATTTCTAGCGGTGCGGAAAGGGGATTTGCTGCCTCCAACCCCCATTACCAAAGAGAACCCCTTCCCCACCCCTGCTCCAGAAACGCACAAATCCTGTATGGGCGATTCAGCGCAAGGCTCAATTTGCCCACACGTGAACCCACTTTCCCACTGCCTTGAATGGACCAAGATGGTTGTTTCCTAACTTATCTTTCCTAACAGCCTTCAAGCTTTCTATGACATGCTGTGCAGCCTGTGCCCCTGGACCTCTTGCCCACATTCTGCTTTTTAGACGATTGAGACAAAACCCGTGCTCCTTGCCTCACTTCACAGCTCCCCAGACCAGCTCCTTCATTACTTCGATGTTTTCTGGTGCATCCAAGGACACCATGCTGCTTACAAGCAGGCTATGATAATCATCCATGTCAGGATGACAGTTCCAAGTAATTAGCTGAGCCGGGTTTCCTACTCCTAATTGCTATTTTAACAGCAAATATATATGATTTACATGCATGTTACATTTTCAGACATTTTGGGTTAATTTATTGTAGCAGAAATCACAAAAAACTCTTATTATTAGGGTACTGCGTAGGGCAATGGTGAACTTTCCTGTTATGATTCATATTTTTTCTTCTCTCTTGAGATTTTTATATCTCCATGGAAAGACCCTCTGGCAAAGAGAAAATGAAGAATGGAATAAACAAAAATATATCAAGGGCGTTTTAATAGGAAAACTCAGCGACCTCTATAAAGGGGTCCTCCTAACATTTGCAGTGGAAGTAGCGATTCTGGATATTCTGCAAAAGATTTGAGAAGTTTGACACACATTATTTTCTGCTTTGGGAAAAATAAAAGCAAAACTTAGTTGGTTGCATAGCTTTATATGGTGGAAAGACGTCTATGGCAAGGGGTAATTTTTGTAAATGGAAAGTGTTGATTTTACTAGTTATGCAAAAGGTGTACTCATGGGAAAGGTGTCAGAAATAACTCCAACTCAAAAAATAGTTACCTTTATATAGCTTGTGAGAACAAGAAATTTTCAAAACCTAGGACTTGGATCACGCAAGAAGTATATCTATGCTAGTTAGAGGTGTGATTTTTTTGCAAAGTATAAACCGTTATATAGCAATATAAATATATCTTATGTCAACCTTGTTTCTTCCTTCCCATACGGGGATTGCTGTGCTGCTACAAAGTATACTACAGACGGTATTTTCATAATTGGTTAAACTCTTGGTAGACTATACCAACTATAATGAACTATTGGTGTAGTTAAAGCAGTTCCAAGCCTGACAAATTGATGCATTCAGACATGAACATAATTCATTCAGTCTCACTAGAACTGGCACGTAACCTCCATTAAGCTTGTTGATAAAAACACCCTTAGACAGATGGAGAGAGATGGCATCTTGCAAAGCTGTAGCTCCGAACATGAACCAGGCTACAAACTGCTCACTCCCTGCCTAAAGGAAAACTTTGTTCATATCCCTACTCGAGTTTTAACCCTACTTGAAGCAGCATTTTTAGTGTATAAATTTGCTAAGTGCATCTCTCTCAATAAGGAGTAACTTTTACACACACAATAAATGCTTGCCCACATTTACAGAATAATCCTATCCTTTGACTTCCAGTTTTCAAATAAATTAAAATCTACATATTTGTTGATTAGTTTGTAGCTTGAGGTAATTATCGGTCTTACAGTAAAAGAACTGCTTCACAGAGAACTTGTAAAAGCAAAGCATACCTCTCTCCATTACATCTCAGTGATTTAGTGGTTTA